TTTTTTTTTTGAGACAGGGTCTCACTATGCAGTTCAGGCTGGCCTTGAGCTCACTTTGAAGCTCAGGCTGGTCTCGAACTCGCAATGATCCTCCCGCCTCAGCCTCCCGAGTGCTGGAATTATAAGCGTGCACCACCATACCCGTGTCTCCATACCTTTTGATCTCCCCAGTCCTCATCTCTTAGTCTCTTAAGTCCTGCAGCAGGGAGATAAATCGGGCAGTCCTTAAATGCTATTATATAGGTAAAGAAAACATAAAACTAAAGTCACGTAGATGCAACAAACAGGTAAATGTGGTGAGTTAGACTATTTTTTTTTTTGTCTTTTTGAGGGAGGGACTCGCTATGCAGTTCAGGCTGGCCTTGAGCTCACTTTATAGCCCAGGCAGGGCTCAGACTCTCAAGGGTCCTCCTGCCTCAGCCTCCCAAGTACTGGGATTACAGACGTGTACCAGCACGCCCAGCTAGTTGGACATTTAGGGAATTGGCTTTGCAGAATTGATTTTGTGTGCATTGACCTGGATCTGCACTTGATTGCTCCAGAAAGGAAACTTCAGGTCATCCTTAGTAGGTGCTTGCCCACCTGCTCAGCCTGGGAGAGGGCCCTAGACCCCCAGAGCCTCAGCATCTATTTTCTAGAGATTTGTTGAAATCTCTTATCTGAGAAACTTCCTCTTTTTTTTTTTTTTTCTGGATTGATTTTTTTTTTTTCAGTGCTAGGGATTGAACCCAAGGCTCCCTGCATGCTAGGCAAGTGCTTTACCACTGAGCCACATCCCCAGTCTGATATTTCTTTGAAATTCCTTTACTGGCTGATGGTGTAGCTCAGTGGTAGAATGCATACTTTATGTCCAAGACTCTTAGCACCAAAAATAAATAAATGGGTGCAGTGGGTGTAGACCTGTAATCCCAGTGGTTTGGGAGGCTGAGGAAGGAGGTTTGCAAGTTCAAGGGCAGCTTTTTAAAAATTTTTAAGAAAGGATTCAGAGCGTAACTTAGTGAGAAGGCTCTAGATTCAGTCCTTAGTACAGGGAAAAATAAATAGCAGGCCTTTATCGTCTTTTAACTGGGATAGAGGGAGGGCAAGAAGGTAAACATGTGGTATCGAACCACCATTCCACGGGAAATCAGTTGAACTTATTATTTATTTTTACTTACTTTCTTGGTTTTTTTTTTGAGACAGGGTCTCACTATATAGCCCATGCTAGCCTGGAACTTACTTTGTAGCCCAGGCTGGCCTCAAACTTGCAGCAGTCCTCCTGTCTCAGCTTCCCGATTGCTAGGATTACAAGCGTGTGCCACCACACATAGTAGTTGAATTTATTTTAAATCCCTTTCTGGGCTGGGGTGTAGTTCCTGTGGTGGAGCACTTGCATGAGGCTCTGAGTCCATCAGTAGCACTGCAATCAATAAACCAATGTGTTTCCTTCTGTTTGTTTTATAAACCTAGTTTCCTTGGGTGCTACTTCTTTTCTTTGTTGACCCTGGTAGCTTTCTTGTGGAGTAGGCTTTTTTTTTTTTTTTTTTTTTTGTCTTTTTGAGACAGGGTCTCGCTATGCAGTTCAGGCTGGCCTTGAGCTCACTTTGTGGCCCAGGCTGGCCTCGAATTTGCAACA